ATCAAGCTCTAATGCTACTACTCTGCCGACAGCTGGCACTTTCGCCTACGACTCCACACTCCAGGATAGTTTAGGCTAAAATGCTGAAGGTGTTTTAAGCTGGAGATAGCTTATAGCATTAGGAAGCTGCACTTGGCCAGCAGGATGGGAATTGAAGAAGGGAAGAGAGGGGAGAGAGAAAAGCCAAATCCTGTGTATTAAAAGACGCTAAGGGAACACTGGCCATCCAGATGTCCACGGTAATTTCCTGCAGCTCTCCCCTTTCACAAAACCCTTAATAATTTTCCCAAAATCAATGCGATTTGCTAAAAAAAAAAAAAAAAAGATACTTGGAACAAACTAAACAATAAAAGAGGTAGTATATTCCTAAAATATTTAAAAATAGATTGCAAAAGATATTTTGAAATCCAGAGATATTTTAAACCTGTTCTCTTTATACAGGACGAATAAATTCAGGAACTTCAAGACACGAAAGAATGCCTCGTTGCTCCAGGAAAACACCAGGAAACACGAGCGACTGCTTACACGCCCAGGAGATGGAAGCCATCCCGCTCCAAAGGACTTCCCCAAAACCTTCCCAGCTTCCCAATTCCACCAAAAGTTAAATATTTCACGTGTTCAGTTAAAAACCCCCAAACGGCCGCAAGAGCACGAAACGACACACCAATCCACCTGCTCTACGCTCCTCCCCTCGGGTGAAGCACAGCACACACACTCAGCAGATCCAGAACCGTGCGCTTTTTCAGCAAGCCCCTCTTAACTTTCCTTCTGGAAATCGCTGCTGCGGTGTAACAGGGCGACACTGACATTGCAGACGCGCACGAAACCGAGCTGAGGGGCGAGCAAGGACTCGTACAACACCGCCGAGGCTCAGCCCCTCCCGCCCAGGAGCGCTGCCCGGCTCGGGGGCAGCGAGGCGCTGCCGCGCATCCACGGCGTGCGTTCAGAGGCTCGCCCGGCCTCCCGCCTCGGCAAGGGCAGCGGCCGCATCCCCCCCGCCGGCCCCGCAGCGATCCGCTCCCGCCGCCCCTGCCCGTCCCCCGCCAGGCTCACCGGGTCCGGCGCCCAGGCAGGCTGCGCCAGGACGAGCAGCGCCAGCAGCGCCCGGCCCCGGCCCGCCATGGTCCTGCCCGGCTCGGCTCCGAGCGGCGCTTCCCGGAGCGGCGGCCACATGACACAGCCCCGCCCGCCGGGGGCGGGAGCGGCCCGGCCCGGCACCGCCCGTGCAGTTGTGATGAAGCTCGGCAGTTCATTTTCAGTCGCCCTTCCACAAAAGGCAACTTCCGCACAGGAGAGTCTGAAATAGAATCGCCTTTCTTTAGCAACGCTGGGAAAAAACCCGTGGCACCAGTTTTCACGTTGGCAGTAGTGCGATTTTTAATTACGCTGTGTCCTGCGCAGATTTTAGGTAGGCGGTGTGGTGATGCCTATATAACTTAGGTCAAAGTTACAAGGTGCTTATATAGCTTGAGTTATAAGATATCAATATAATCTGATATAACCTGAATCATAGCTTTTATACCTATATAACGTGATATAAATAATTGCCTAGACAATGTAATGGCTGGTATGTGGTTAACTAGTTGTTTAATGCTGAATAGGCAAAAAAAAGAAGAAAAAACTCACCAGGTGGATGGCTTTAGACATAGGTAAGTATAGTACTAATAAAAAATTGCAAATGTAAAGCTGATTAGCCACAAAATAAAGAATTTAGACTGGTTGGGACCAGACAGACCAAGGAATGCCGTAACTGCGCATGCTCTGAAGACAAAGTTGAAAAGTTCAGATGTGAAGAAGACCTTGGAGGCCTTCATAAAGACCCCCGATGACCCCCGAATTGGGGAGATGCAAGCACAGTGCAAAAGAATGATCTAATAACCATAAGATCATACCACGTAAATTAGTTCCAGTCCATATGTGATGATGTTGTAGTGACATAGCAATACTAAGCAATACTTACTGTATAAATATACCACAGCACTTGACAAGGGTGGGTGAGTTAGGAGGAGATATCCCCCTGACCACCAGCACTGCAATAAACAAATACCTGCTCTATAGACATCAGTCTATGGGGATTTATTTCCAACCAGTCTTTCAAGCATCTGTAGCAGTGAAAGATGCCAGGCAGGCATGTTCTTGAGGAAGGATTTTTCTCCATCTTGCAGTTTAGGAGTGCAGGAAGTGGGCAACTGGGGAGACAGATTAATGAGAAACACAGGCTACGAGATGCATCCATCTATAAGTGCTCTGCCTTCTAATTATTATTTAAATGGTATATATTTCATAGAATTAGAGAATAGTTTGAGTTGGAACGGAACTTAAAGATCATCTAGTTCCAAGACCCCTGCTATGGGCAGGGCCGCCTTCCACTAGACCAGGCTGTTGTAACATCAAGTACAAATCAGCAGCCAAATTAGGTTTGTACTGTCATTTTAGTATGAGCATTATCATTTTAGTGTGAGCAAATGAATGCTTCATAGCCCTGCTATGGGCAGGGCCACTTTCCACTAGACCAGGCTGTTGAAACATCAAGTACAAATCAGCAGCCAAATTAGGTTTGCACTGTCATTTTAGTACGAGCATTATCATTTTAGTGTGAGCAAAGGAATGCTTCATGAGTGTGTACATTTGCAACAGTTGGTGGAAGCACCATAAAAAAGTACTCAAAACCTTCCAGGATGCCCGTGTTGTAGCTTGTCTCATGTGCTCTGTGCAGTGACTAAGCCATGTCATGTGTTTTTAGGCACACAGAAAAGAAGTGATGCAGTCTCTAAATCGTGACTTTAACTGCCTGTGCAATTAACTCTCTTACAAAACCAAGTGGGGGTGGCACGAAAAAGAAGGGAAGTCCTTGGCAGACAGTTGATTGGAAAGCTGCATGGAACTGTAAAAATTAAGAAACAAGAACGAATAAAAAATGTACTGTAGCGTGGGAAAGCCTTGGGAGGAGAGCACACAGCAGAGTAGTAAGGAGCCAGCTCAGAGCAGAAGCTGGGAATTGCACAGAGCTTTAGAGACCAAGGCATAAAACATTTAAGCACTGGTGAAAGAAGATACAGAACTAATCTGTGGATTTAGAAATGGAGGAAAATTACAGTACAACAGGATAAACCTTGAGATTTTCATGGGAGTGTTCTTTAAAAACAGGACATCAGGCAGTTCCTACAGGGTCTGGAAAATATTTTTAGTTGAAAACAAATACATGTAAGACAATAACCCTGTATTTACTTCCAGATATCTGAATAATCTGTTATGGGCTATGGTAAGAAAGAGTCTGATTAAGTTGGTCCTGATACTTTCTGAACATCTGCAACCCTTTTTGGTCATCTTTTATATCTGGAGCAGACAGCTGTTAGGGACTTCATTATCTTTGTTTAGATGCTTTACCATCTTTAGTACATTTTTAACAGGAGAAAATAAACAATGACTTAGGAAAAATTAAAAACTCTTTCCAAATGCTCTGAAGACAAAATTATGTCTTTGTCATATTACACTGTACTTTTTTGAGGCCTCTTTGTAATTCTGGTTTAGTTCTTTCATTGGTAAAGAAAGTCTCAGTTTAAGGAATAGTTATCTTCCAGCACCAGTCACCTTCCCTGACTATGGCTATTCTGCTGTGTTCCTATCACAATGCCTTGCCTTCAAGGTCCACACCAGCACCTCAGGCCCTCCTTTTAGTCTGGGTTTCTTCTGTCGGTTTTCAAAAATCTAAGAAGGAAAATGCTTCTTAAGACAGTTAGCTTGCTAACTGTACTGACAGCTGGTCTCACTGACACTTAGCACTTACATCCATCCTTCTGCTCTCATACTCATCTATCCAGTACTGTATTACCACTCCCCAGATCTGTTCCTTCCCCCCCTGAAGTAGAGGCTGCCCAAATTACTTCCCCCTTTTTTTTCTGTTTCAGTTAAAATAAAGCTCCTTTTGCAAACACTACTGTCAGGATGTGGTATCTTCAAGATGACTCCATGAATACCTGCATTGGGAGGTACATCCAGAAAGACTCCTCCATAGCAACAGTTAAATACAAACACGGATCTTCACTGTTTTGTTATAACTTTGATTTCATTTTCTTGAGACTGGATTTCCAGTGAATTCCCCAGATTTCTGATTCATGCTATCTCAGAACACATTTTCTCAGGACTCTAGCGTATCATTAGTCCCAACATACAGGGCAACCCCATCATTACTAAAATATCCTTATTGTCTGCAAGGCTGCCAGTCCCTTGCCAATTCTAGTACTTCCTCTCCTACCAGGGACAGTCTCATTTCATTTGCTCTGCCATTGCTTTTTACTTCATTTACTCACCTCCCTGTAACAAACACACCTCTCAGTTCTACTTGTCACTTACTATCACTTATAGCTACTTGCAACACACTGCATTCTCCTATTTACACTAATATAAAATGGAAAATTCCCTTTCAGGGGTAATTCTCAGGCTCTTATTCTGCTGCTGAGCAGTGCTTTCAGCACCCTTCCCCATCAGAGCATATATTTCTGCTTCCAGGTGTATCTGAGTAATCATTTTTTTGTGGATTCTACGAGGCAAGTTTTTACTCAAACAATATATTCTTGAAAGAAAAATAGATGCTGTAATATCAATCTACTTCCACCATCAGCATTCACTTCAGATGCATTTAAGATTCACAGTGTGGATCGATGACACCTGCAATGAACTTCCAATAAATAGTTACTCTGGCCTGCAGCTTGCTCCTTGCAGTGCTCTTTTTCTCAGTGTTTCTGAGTGTAGTTTTGGCAGCAGGCCACAGCAGCAGTGTGATATTCCAATGGCTCCTTGTACATCAGTCACATTTCTGGGGAGGGATGTGTAGTGTGGTACCTACAACAACTAGTTAATGAGCCCTAATTCCCAGTCCTAGGCCAAACTAAGGACCTCTGGAAAAAAAATCAGTAAAGTTTTTTCTCCCTCTCTTCCACAGCACACCTCACAGCTATGCTGCATTTTTATCCAAGAATTCCTGACTCTGGCCAGGAATGTTTGCATACAATCATTTATTTATTTCTAAATTTTGTCCTAAAGGAAACTAAAAGCCAGGGAGCTTTCTCTCTGGATTAAATCAGTGTACAAGTCTGTCTCCCAGGCCTTAAGTTACCTGGCAAATACCTTACCATTGTTAATTGATATACCTTTAATTTTTGCTGGAGCTGTTCCCTTAATACAAGCCAAGTATTTCACAAGTGATACAGTTAACAAGATAACTGGGTTATTAATATTTGAGAAAATTTTAATACAATTCCTGAAGATACTTAAAAAATGCCTTAAATAAAAAACATCTATAAAATATTTTACTCTTTTTCAATTTGACGCTGCCATCAAAGCTGCAGAAGAAAATGGGCCAGCTGGATGTCACTTGCAGTATCTATCTGCTTTCACTTTAGCTCTCCTGTATGGGAAGAGTGAATGAAACAAGATTTACATTAAGACCAAATACAATTATACCTGGGTGTTTTATCTGCCTCAAAGTGTCAAGAATGCATTGAAAACCATTTTTTTTAAACTTTGCTTCAAAGTACACATAAAGGCCTAACAACACTTTGGATTTGTTAATTAATTTTGTTTTCCTAAGGAGGTAGAACTGCAGTGTCTAAAGTTGACCCTGACTTTCCCTTCAAATCATCATAATTGCATTTTGTCTCCCCTGAGGAATGGAATTCAGATTCAGTGTGATCTGAAGCTGACCACCTGTGAGAGCCCAGGAGTGTTCTCTCATCACTTGCAATTATCAGAAATAGTTTTCTGCATTCCACCCACTGAATGAATGCAAATATTTATACTATATACTGACATAAAAGGCTTTAAAAATTCAACATGGTTTCTTTTTACAGGAAAAAAAATTCCCACTAGATAACATGAAGACTGTCCTTAATAAACACTATTTCTGTTCAAAATGCAACTTCTGCCTCTCCAAAATATTCTGGTACCATAGGTATTGAAAAATATTAAAAATTAGCTCAATTTTCACGATTAAAAATATTAATCCCTCAACAACTCCATACTAAACAAACTGAACAACCTAAAGATTTTCAAAAGAACTAATTTACAAGTAAATTCAAACTTGCAAACTTCAGTTAAAGACGTGAAAAAAAGAAAAGAAAAAGAAAAAAATAGAAAAGGTAGCAACCCCCAGGACTCAGGCACAACACTCACCAGAGAAAAAATGCTCAGGAACCTATCTCCCTGAAATCTAGCCCTCTTTTGTACCCCAGGTATTACTGTAATTACATCTCGCATTAGTTTTTTAATCAATACATTATTTCTAGCACTTTGAAGTACCTGTCAAGCAGCATTTCATGAAAAGTGCCTTCTTTTCTGGCTTTTCTAAGGGCTTTTGTATCTTCTTTGCTTATTTTAAGCTTTTTGTCTTGAAAACTTTGGAACTTCTTCCTGTAAGAAAGAAGAAAAGGGGGAAGAGAAGGAGTAAAGAACTGAAGCTTTTTAAAATTTTTGTTTTCCAACACAACAGCAGCTCTGGTAAGAATCTTAGCTCCTATTAAAGCAGCAGATAACTGACCTAATAAAATCCAGCAAACCATCCCAGTACCAAGGTTGCACTAAGGCTTCTGTAGGTGAAAACTATTCAGGTTTTGGTTTTTTTGGGCAGTCTAAGTAGGAAAGAGCCACTGTGTGACTAGCTGAAGAGGTTACAAATTCTAAAGAGCCCCTTCTCCAACTACTAGCTTAAAAATCAGGGAGCAAAAGTGTACTGGACGTAGTTGCAAGGTGCTGACTGTAGGGAAGCTGCAGGGCTTTTCTCTGTCAGAAAAGGCCAGGGGCTGACCTGTGCTGGACAGAGCTGGCTCTCAAGACATCCACTACAGGACACAGCCAAATCCATCAGCAAAGCTGGTGGCACTCCTATGAAAACATATTTAATATAAGGCAAAATGCCAAAAAGGCAGACAAGGGAAAAAACCCAAAAACCTGAAAGTGCAAAATGGCAGTGTGAACATCAAGCACAGAGAAGAAGAGGAAGGAGATGCTTTAGGCACTGGAGCAAATATCACCTTCCAGCCCATGAATAAGACCATACCAGAGAAGGGGAAAAGCAGGAAAGGAAGGGAGTGGCTGAAAGAAACCACTGTGTATTGACCTATAGCCCCTCTGGCTTGGAGGAGTGGGTACAAGAGTCTGGAGAGAATCTGAGCTTGAGAGATGGGAGTAGGAAAGGTGGCGTTTTTGAGTTTGTCTCTCAGAAGCTACACCCACTTAAAAGAAAATAAATTTAACTCATTTTTCACAGTTAACCCTAGGACAGTATCTGGTACAGCAGCTCCCTTTATCTCAACCAATGAGCTATCTCATCCTGTTTTCTTCCCTTGTCCTGCTAATGCAAAGTGAGTGAAAGGCTGGATGGGAGCTGGGCTCAAAGACAGCCCCAGCCAGAAGCAAAAAAAGGTACTTGAGCCTGTTACCAGCTCTAAAGTACATACACGTAATTGATTTCACACTGTTTAACATTTCCTTTGTCTTCTTGTGGAACATCATCTTTCTTCTTAGCTTCTCTTTCAGCACAAGTACGAATCTAGTAATTGAAAGAAAAACAAATAAAACAACTAAAACAAAATAGAAAACACCTGTATTTTAAAACCAGTAAGTTAAGGGTGAAAGATGACTACATATCCTTTGTAACAGAATGTGAGTCACAGCGACTTTTCAAGTTCACAGTGTTCAAACTGGTTAACCAGAAACAACTGCAAAAGTAAGAGCTGCCTGAAATATGGGAAATGTTAAGTGCATACTTGATACTATGGTAAGACATGACTGCCTTTATCTCAAGGAAGCACTATTACAGTTCTTAATTTTGGCAGGGACAATTCAGAGATTGACTTAAAATACTATTGTTCTAACTAGTTAAGATACCTATCTCTACTTGGAGAGTAGGGATGTATTTCCCATGTTCAGATAAAGTCAAGATAGTATTTTCAGATTCTCTTAAAAGATCTACCCTTCTGGATCATTCTGGTAAACCCTTCCCTGCCCCTGACTTGGTCATAATTCCTCTCTTCTGTCCCAAGCTGTTTAGAAATACCTGGAAGATCACACAGACTCTTCTGTCCTCCTGAGTGGTAAAGTATCTTTTTATCTCTATAGGAAGTACTGAGAATTAATGCAGCCCTGGAACTCTTATACTTTTCTTGTGGCCATATCACTTGACAGCTTACAGGAAGCAATTATAACTGTATTAACACAAACTCATAATGCAGACACCTGCTTGCTTGAGTTTGACTCCTGCCAATCCTGTATTAATTGTAGAAGTTATAGATTACCTTTATCATTTCTCCTTCCCCTGCAGTTTTGCTTTTGGCTTCTATGTCCCCCTCTTCATTACACCTAATAAAACGGCTGTTTGCTGCTAGTAATGCCATTTTCCTCTGCAGAAATAATATCACACATTGTAAGTATAATGAGGTTGTATATAATCCTTGATTTGTAACAATTTATCCTCTACAATATACCAATTGTCTCAGTAAATAATTCTTTTATGTATGGATACTTCAATAGTTAGCCAGCCTTGCTGACTCCTTCATTATTAAGATGCTTATAGCTGCCAAAATGCAGATATTGAAGTATTTAAAAACTATCAATTACAGTAAATGCATTGCAGTTGGAAAATCATAAGTCACAATATGAAAGAGATTGCAAAAGGCTTTTACTTGATAATAAAAAAAACCATCTACACAGATTAACTCAAAACACAGTCAAACACTAGCAACATCAAATAAACTATTCCAAACAGCTTACATCTTGGAAGACAGGTTCCCACTGCTCTCTTGATCCGATTGCATCAGAACGTCCAACAACCAGCCCGTCTGAATTTATACCAAGGTATTTGCCATAACCAGACTTGAGAGCAATCCTCAAAGAGAAAATGTAGGAAACAACAGTGTTTTCAATTAATGGAATTCACAACACCCAAAACATCACAGATGCTTTTAGTAGCAGACAATGTATTTCAAAAGAGTATTGAAATGCCATCTCACAAAATCCAAAGATAACAAGTATCAAAACTTGAAACATTACAGTAATTACCTTGTATCAGATAACTTTACTGCTGTAAACTGCTCAGGAGGACTAGGGCCTTCATCACCTGAGGAATGAATTTTCCATTTGTTAAGTATGAAATATAAACATAAAATATATTAACCCACTAATATTGCAGTATCAAAAATAATTAAACATTGACTATTTCTAAATACTATGGAAAGTATTTCATTAAAATTTCCTTTTTGAGTATTCACTTTTAAAAAAGCAATGCAGGTGCTCAGTTATGTTCATATATTTACAGTGCTTAAGACACAAAACAAAGATGATCATAATTTAAATAAATTTATAATTAAGAATGTTTTGTAATTCTCCTGGTGGCTCTGAAAACCTTAATCTCCTTCTAATGATATTTCTTTGATAACAAAATGAATTATGGTTCAGCTATGGTAACTCCACTCAGTATCCTAAAAGCTACTGGCTTCTCCATCCCTCAAAACCAAAACAAGAGAATATGGCCATTGTTGCTCTGATCTCTGTCTGGAGATGAAACACACAGACTGTCAGGGTTCTGGAACAGTCCATGTCAGAGTCATTGCCCTCAAGTTCAAACACCAAGCTAATTATCCCAGCACATTAGTAATCCTCTTGTGCAGTGACAAAACAAGTATTTTAAGACAAAGATGCAGCAATAAGCACTAAAACTCATCTACCTTGAATTTCATTCTTCAAGTGACGCCATAAACATTTTATAGGTTATAAAAAAATTATACTGTTTTTTATCCAGCAAGTGGTATGGCCTTTAACAGGTAATCATCTCCAGTGCAGTTCAATTTATTGCACACATAAGCCAGCATGAAACTAGATGAGTGAAACTGATTGGCAGTCATTAGGTTTAAGTCATCTGCATGCTTCAGCTAGAATTATTGCGTTTTTTGTAGTAAACTAGTTTTAGCTGTAACACTGCTTGCCTTGAAGTGATGCTAGTTCTATGCTTTTAGGCACTTCATTATTAAAACTCTATTCTTTTCAAATTTCCTGGAACAAACCTTTATGTGGTGCTCCAAGTGTAAACAAGCCATTGTCGAGGGCATGGATGTAAGCTCCTTTATCCATTTCTATAGCTATAGTTCCTGTAATTTCACCAAAATTACTGACAGCCCACCAGTTTCCTGTAATACAAAACCATGACAGTTTATTAACAGAGTAATCACAACTTCTGATTACAATAGCCAAAGAGATTATATTTCTGTGTCTTCTCTGAAATTTTAAATTCAAAAGACAGCTATCTCACAATCTTTGTGCAATATTTTATGGTCCAGAGCCAATTTAATGGTGTTGCTGCTGCTGCTGCTTCAAGAAGTCCTGCTCTTTGACCTACTGTCATCCCTAGTTACAAGCTCCTGTGCTTCATCCTTTCTTTGTGTTAGTCCACAGACCAAGCTGATTCATTCAGCTGATGCAGCAAAGATACATCTCACACGAAAAATATTTTTTTCCCTCTGGATCTGTCTCCTGAAGTCTTGGGGTCATACCCATTTATTAGATTCTCTAACACAAGAGAAACAGAGATGCTATTTCATCTTGCTGTTAAATATGTGAATTATAATCCTTAGACCTCAGTTGTTCAAACCAATCTGGATTTGAACATTTGACTCCTACAGAATTCTACCAAAATTAAAGGCAGCCGTTCCCATGTGCACATCTTAGAATTGTGACTTTCACATTTTTTTGAACAGTAAAATTATCTCCTTGTATACTATCTTACAAATATTTCCTACCTCACTGAGATAGTAATGCTTAATTTTTTTATTACTTATAAAAACCATAATCCATCCTACTAGTGTCACAAGTTCCATTTGGAAACTAGGAAGATCCCAAAAACACAAATGACACGTTGTGAGAAATAGTTATGTATCTCTACAGGGGTTACACTTGCTTTATTAAGTCCTACAACGACCTCGTTCCTTCTGCCACATCCCCTACAGCTTCCGCACTGTCACATAACTCCTGGGAAGCAGCTCACCAACAATATCGAGCTGCTCTGCCGCATCCTCTTCCCTCTTCCTTTTCTTTTCCTTGTGCTTTTTCTTGCTGCAAGGGGAGATGCAAAGAAGTGAGAACCAGCCGCCGACCCGGCCCTTGTCCCGCCCGGGCCCTGCGGGAGCGGGTCCCTGCCCCGGCGGAGGGAAGGGCCGGCCCGGCCTCACCCCCGCCCAGCCTACACCGGCCCCGCCGGGCGTGCGGGCCCTGCGGCTGCCGCAGCGCGGGGCAGGGGCGGCGCGGCGGGTAGTGCGCTCCTCACCTCTTCTCTTTCGACCCTTTGAGGACGAGCTTGGTGGATTTGACGCAGGAATACTCCGCCATGTCGCGATCCAGGAAGGGCGGGCAGAGGGAAGCGGCTCCGCCCCCGGCCGGGCGGAAGCCCTGAAGCCGCGGCCCTGTCGCCGCCCGGCTGTGGGTGGGGACCGGCGGCTTCTGTCAGGCGTGTGGAGGGTGGTGGGCGCGGAATTTGAGCGGGAAAATGAAACAAGAGTTTAAAATCACATTTAAGCGGTCTGGCCCTGGCGCCTTTCCCGTCAAAGTCTGGCTTGGCTTCATGGGTGCAGGGCCTGCGCTTTGCCGGACTGCAGGCAGAGAGTGCTAAGGAACGAAGAACCCACAGCTTATACAGCCTGTGTGTGTGTCTGTTGTAAAACACGTGTCATGGGCATTGGCAGAGCCCTCGGACGTGAGAGTAGCAAGGCTAAGGGCAGCAGGTCTTGCCTCTGGCAGGGTTACACGGGAGCTGGACACCTGGATGTGCTGGTGAAGGAGTAAAAGCTTCCAGGGACGCCTATGAAGACCAGTTGGGGAAATGCAGCTGGCAAACCAGCTAAGTGCACCATGCTAGGGGTGAAATGAGGTGTGACAGTTTTTTTCCCATCCTGTTAGCCACTTGGTATTCCACAGAATGAAATATACATCAGACTTCCCTCTTGGCGTATAACAACATTTTTCTCATATTAATCTAGCACCCTCTAGACAGGTACCAATACTCTTTACATGGGAAATAGCCTTACCAGCACATGTGTGATTAGAATCCCAGTTACAGTAGTAATTTGTGTTTAGTCTTCAAAAGTGTTCTTCCTACTTCATACTCATTGGGGGGGGGGGGGGGGGGGGTTGTGCCCAAAAAGTTGCCTGTTGATTATACCTGGTTAAACGAAAAATACTACCCCTGTCAAGGCTTGTTGTACATGTCTTATGTATAGGTACAGAGATGCTTGCATTGGACTGTTTCTTTTTGGTTTCCAAGTTAGTTTGCTATCTATGCTTGAAAGTTTTCAGCACCTCAGAGGTATCTTCTACAAGAAGAAATGCAAGTCTCATACATGTTTATGTCAAGGCTTTTAAAGTCACTGAAAGCATGACCAGTTGATAAAGCTTGGTGTGTACAATGTCCCAGTGAATGACTGGATGGTGGATGGCTGCAGGTGTCTTCCACAGATACTTTGGTTGGATCCAGAACCCTGACTCTTCTCACCAAAATTTCTTTGAATTTCTCTTTGAGTGCCTAAGATGACACTGCCTCCTGTTTTTATTTGTGAAGCTGGAGTAGTTACACTTGCTGTGTAAAATGCAAACAACAGTAATGAACTCCAAGGAGGTTTTGGCAAGTCCCCCGTTTTGGAGCTTCGGGGGCATTGAGTTTGTTAGCAAAAGCAATGCTTGAATCTAGCTGCTGGTCCATGTAAATTCAGAATATTTTTTGTGTGTGGTCGTATGTTGGATATGCTGCTTTCTGTAGGCACACAGTTTGTGGTGATTGGGAGTGGGGCTGTGGCCCAGCCCCATCCCCAGTGGGCAGAGCTGTGAGCAGCACTGACAGCAATGAGCCATGGAGTGCCCAGGGGCACTGACCAACCACCAAGGGGAACAGAGGGCACTCAGGTGCAATGTGTGAACATGAGGGGTATAAAAGGCTGGGCTGAAGAACAAGAAGGGCTGATGCTTGAAGCCTTCTGAAGGGGTATGGTGTTACTCTGAATGGGTTGATGCTTTCTGAAATTGTATGATGATACTCTGTGTATTGTGGCTGTCTCAACTGCAATGTATGCTGTGACAGCTTTTCTGCTAGTAAGTAGGAAAGTACCTGCCCACTGTAGGGTTCTCTTTTATGTTGCAATTTGTCAAGGAGCTGCTTATCCATGCAGACATCCTGATGCTTTCGCCCAACTTCCTCTCTTTTGCAATGCATTGCTTTGAAGCTTAGAGAAGGTGATCCTTGACTAGTAATCATCTTTCTTGGGTGCATCTTCCCTCTGGGGCTTTATTCTGTGTTACTCTCCCAAGCAGATCCATGAAGAGATACAAATCCTCTTGCCTGAAGTCTGGGGAAGCCAGCTTGCTGTTCATCCTCCTGGCTGCCCTAAGGCTCTTGAACTCCACCATTTCATAGTCACTGCAGCCAAAGCTGCCCTTGTGCTTTGCATTCCCCGGCAGCCCCTCCCTTTCAGTGAGGACAAGATCCAGCATAACACCTCTGCTTGTTGGCTCCTCTTTCACTTGGAGGAGGAAGTTGTGATTTTAGCCAATATATTCATATGTTTCCAGCCATTTTGGGATTCACTTCAAGCCAGCTTCAGCAGTGAGCAATTTTAGCAAATACGGTTACAGCTGTATTTGATTCTTATCATTAAATAATTTTTTGCAGGTTCTAAATGGCTATTCCTATAAGGCAGATATTTTAGTAAAAGGAATATGAAAGAGGAGAGAGCAATTGCATCAAAGTCAGAACAAAGCATAAAGGAGATGAGTGAAGCAGGAAAAAATGTCCATCAGCCATCCTAGCATGCTACCTTGCCCTTCAGTGGTTATTTCGGGGATCTGAGTTCTTAGGCTTTGATTCTGTTAAGAGAAAACCGTCAGGAGTTCGTTTTGTTCTCATAAATATAACTTTAAAACTTCATTTTTGATAGGTTATAATTTTTTGCCTACTTAACTGTGCAACCTTAGTATTTATGGGGTATTTGTACATTTTTGTCAAATTGGGCCTGTGTTCACTGATAGACTGTGACCAGCACTTCATAGTACACAAACACTTAGCTGGGAGGTCAAATGAGGGAGGAAAAGGTAAGGATCAAAAGTGGTGTAATAACTTTAAAGTTATTAACGTTTATCTAAACTGGGTTTTTTTTGTGTTTTCTTTTTCTTTTTTATTAAAAAAACCCAAAAGCAATTAAAGCAATTTTTATTTTAAAATGCATATATTTTTATTATATGCCAGATGTTCATTTTGCTATTTGTCCACCAGATGCTGCTATAGCCACAAAAATAAGTGCAGATTGAGAAGTTTTGGGGAAAAAAAAGGAGGTAGTTTTATTTTCATTACAGATGACTCTTACATAATCATGATCCTGGAAAGAATGATGCATGTGCTTGCATTTTGGATAGGGAATAGTTCTGGTGAGTCCAATTAAGCAGCTCATTTAGTGTAAAGTTGATCATCGTTGCAAGCTTTCTTAGGATGGGGCTATATCAGTTATGTTTGCTATTTTCTTAATTTGCTGGTCTGTTTCCATTCTTCTGTTTTATGCAGAGAAAGTAGGAAAGACAGAATGACAGAGACAATAAATATCTTATTTAATAGAAATGTAGATTTTTTTGAGAGGCTTCCATAATGTATGATATATTTTCTTGTTAATGAGTGTAATTTTATTTAAAATTCATGTATCTTAGATTTCTTCTTAAATTTAGTGACACCAGCAACAAATAGGCATCATTACAGTTTATGTAGAAGATGATAAAACCTTTTCCTGCAGGGCAAAGTGATGAAATAAATCTGAGAACTGTGTATAAAATGGTATCACTTTAGAAAAGCTATTTAGACTCTAATTTGCCAGTTAGTATTTTTGAAATTAAAACATTTCCGGGCTGTATGTCCGGGCTGTGGTTGTTTAAAAAAAGTATAGCAGTTCATTTTCTTTATGGGATGGGAAATAAATGGAGCCTTTGTGTTTGCAATTCTAGAAAACAAATCACTTTTTTAATGACTGGATTTTCCTGCCAGCTTGGAATTTGCCGCATGTGCATTTTATTTTGAATGCCTAAAGAGTGAAATCATTTGCTGTCATTCATGCAGATGGGGCAGATTGGCTGAGGTGTCATTTGCAAAATGTGCACTTTCATCATTCAAGTTTGAAGGGGATCATTACAAAAATGTAATAGAAACTCAGGACCGGTGGAAGTGAAGGAAGTGAAGGGCTGGGATTGAGCATCTGTGTCATAGTCTAGTGTCATATGAGCCTGGACCCAAACTTAGGTGCTTTGGAGTTTTCTTCCATCATGTTTTGTTATACTAGAAAATATTGAAATACCTCCCCAAACCAGAGAAACTTGAGGCAGCTCTCTTGATAGCCAAGTTGACAGATTATATGGGTTTTTTTCCCTCTTTTGTTTATAAGTGTGGGCCCCTTGTGAAATATCAAAGCTCTTGACTGGTGTAACAGCCAAGATCGATATAGTTTTGTTTACTCATTTACAGAAGGAGTGAAATCTGATGTGAGTTAGGACCAGAGCAACTATATTTTAATTTTTCCCCAGTGGGACAAAGTACATACTCTGGAATGCTGTGGTTTGTCATAATGTTCAGCAGCAGTTGTGCCAGTGTTAAAGCATCCCTAGGACATGATGGTGCATGACAGATGTAAATAAAAAGCTAATTTGATTCATAGCATTTTTAAAACTGCATTCTGAAAATGGTTTTGTTATAACTTCCAAATTTTAAGTGTGATCAAAAATTTTTTATTTTTTTTTTTAGCTGAAAATGTTAGTGTTAGGTTTTTAAGCACAGGTAAACAGGTGTTATCAAAATTGCCTTTCTCTTACTTGGCTTATGGCTCAGTACTTGGAGTATTTGGGAAATAGGAAGGGTTTCTCAGTCTGTCAGGGCAGGATGGAGCCCCAGCTCAGATCCCCCAATCCTCAGCATCCCTGGTACAGAAACCTTGTGTTGGTTCTGGCTTCTCAGCCGCTTCTGGTTTGCATGATCACTCCATCACTTTCCTCTGCTGTCTCTCTGTAAAGTTTGGTAGTGAAGTTTTTCTAGCTGGCCAGACCCTCAATATCTGCTTCTCCAGACACTGAGATCCTGCTCTAGAGTTTGTCAGGGAGCACTCACCAAAATCCCCACCAAATTTGCTGCACACTGAGGGAATGTAAAAGAGAAATTAAAAAGTAACTGCAAATGTACAGTGGCTTCATGCTGATGCCAACTGTGTCTGGTGTTTACTTGAACTCAGACCTTCTGGTTTCTGCTTGTCATCCCAAATGATGCATGTGTACTTCTTCAAATTCTGTTATTCTTTTCTGTTAAGTGCTCTGTGTTTTATCCTGATGTAATAAGGAAAATTTTTATATGT